TAGATTGAAAAGTATAAATTCACTTCAGATAACAAGTTGGTTTGCGAAAAATTTACAATCGAATAAAAAATTGAATGTGTGTATGCTTGGTCAATTGCCAAATATTTCTAGATGTACATCCTGTCTGTCTAAAAAATTTGTACGTTTAGTTTTAAACAATTGGACATATGGATATAAGGTATATTATATATATATGTATGTATGTGTTGTGTCGATATGTGAAATTTCGTATTACGAATGAACGATTATTAAGATGCAAATTTGAGCACATTAGTATAGTGTCGAGTCCTTGTAGAAGAAAGTTGATAGGCCTATCTATATTTAAAGATTATTAGTTTCCGTAGGGTGAGTTATAGTGAGGGGTTGCATTTCGTCGCGTTTCAAAGGTTTCTGAACATTTTGCATACTCAGACAAAATGGATGTGTTTGTGTGTGTGTGGATACAATTTTTCGTCCACGTTTCGGTTACACGGATCAACCGATTTGGTTGGTTCAAAAAACATCCGATTCCTATTGATAGGGAGATGTTGAAATTGTTTTTGTAAAAGGCAGGTCCGGCAATTACGGAGATAAGAGTAAAAGTGTAGAAATAAAAAAAAAACAATCGAGTTTTAGAGAGAACGGACATCCGATTGAAAGATCCAAAAAACATTCAATTTGTTATGATTGGTAGAAGTGGTGACTAGTTTTTGGCAAAGGTAGACCCAGCGGTTTCGGAGATACAGCTAAATGTTTAAAAAATGCATTTCTTGAGTGAACTAAGCGTCCGATTTAAATGATTCAAAGAACTTTCTGCTTGTTTACACATAATAATTGCTTTTGGAAAAAAAAATTGTTCCTAATTTTTTTTTTTTAATATTTTGTAATTTTAGATTAAAATTTAAAAAATTACCCAGGCTACACAGTCTAAGCCCACTCTGGTGCAAATATTTATCCAAGTGCATTAGACTGTGTTAAAAGTTTTTGGCAAAGGTGACCCCGGTTTAGGAGATACAGAGCTAAATGTTAAAAAATGGCAGTTTTGAGAGAACTAAGCGTCCGATTTGCTTGCTTGTTTCAACAAAATAATTGCTTTTGGAAAAAAAATGTTTCTAATTTTTTTTTCAAAAAATATTTTTGTATTTTTTTTGGATTAAAAATTGAAACAATTTTCAGGCTAAGCACTGTCTAATCGCCACTCTGGTACAAATGTTTACCCAAGTGCGTTTAGACTGTTTTTGTACTGGAGCACTTTCCAATTTTGTGAAAACTATTGAAAAATGTGAAATGCCGCCAAGCTAACACAGTAAGTGAAAATGTCGCACGGAATTATTTCAAATGCGTTTAGACTGTAACTATACGGGAGCACTTTTTTCAATTTTGTGCAATTAGACACTATTTTTTTTTTAAATTGAATTCGAAATGAAATGACGATTGTTAATGTTCTGGAGATAAATTACTTATGATATACATTTGTTTGCTCAGATATAACAAGATAGTAAACATAATGAAAGTTACACTATTGTGCAATAATATATTTGAAACGTTTAAAATTTCTCGAATATCATTACAGTACGGAAGTTCCAGCAATTTGCCTTAAGGCACGATGCCATACACCACTATTACTATAAGAATTTACACCGAAGATCACGATCTCGAAACGTTTTTTGCAAATAGCTGGTGGTTGCAAAAAAATTCTCTTACAAAGATGAAAAAAGTGTTGAAGAAATTCACACTTTAAAGGTCATTTAAGTATTGAAAAACCACGAAACGATAAATTATAAGATTCTAACTATTATTAGTCTTTTAAATTTTTGTGCCCTTTTGTTTACTTTTTTTTTAATTTTTTGCCCTCCAGTGTTTTACTATTTCTTTTCTAATTAGACGGAGGCGAGGGCCACTGCGGGACTGTTTGCGAAATAGGCAGTGCCGGATCGACGCACTCGCCTGAATTAACAGTGGTCGTTTGTTGGGACGCCGGTCTGAGGACGAACTACAGGACAGGACATCAGGGCAGATACGATCTGAGGGCTGTCGATAATGCACAGACAGGTAACTAGAAAAATAATTGACTTTTATTAATCGATTTTATTAGTCATTCAATATATATCTATAACACTCATATACTTATATTAGTGCAGTAAACGGAGCGTTTTAGGTCTGAATTTTTTTACTGTGCTCCGAATTAAATGAAATTTTGGAATTAGGTTCATCTCACCCTCAAGTTCAAAAGTGAAAACAATTCGGGTTCGGGGGATGACACCTTTTCTCAATTGTGTTATTACATTTTTTTCAAAATAACGTCGGAAATCGATAGAAGAACTAATTATAAGAAAAAATGTCTTCTATGTTTTCAAAAAAACTATACTTTTCAAGTTACTGGCCACTAAAATTGATATATTTTTGGCGTTTTTCTCCGTTTTTTTTGCAAATATCTCCTAAAATATACATTTTAAAACAAAAATCATGTAGTGAACAAAATAATGTCAATAAAAACTTAATAATCGGTATTACATAAAGTGTTCTAGGAAAAATATTAAGCAAGATTTGAAAGAGCAAAGTCGTTTTTATTTCGTTCAAGATTTAATTGTTGTATTTAAAGCCATCTAGTGTGAAGTTTTACATTTTATGCATTTCGGTGAAATTGGTTTTTATAGTGCTCAACATAAGCTTTAAAATGAGTGCTGTTACAATTTTTTGCGTGTAAAATGGTGAGCTAACATACAAATAAGAAGCATATACAAAGTTTTTTTTCTTTTAAATCATATGGTTTAATGAGCGCCATTTCCACCAGAATTAAAGTAATTTACATTCCATCTAGAATTCACTTCATTATGGACATCTTGATGGATTCTAGCAGATTCACTGCTTTAGTACAAACTATTTTCAGAAAACTCACGATTTTATAAAAACCTTTTTTTCCAATTTGCGCGGCCCCGTAGTCTTTTAAGCATTCATAACTCTGTCAATTTTTGTGTGAAAGAAAAATAATAAAAAACAATAATAAGCCAGAAAGATTCCTTTGATTTTTATCTATATGCTTTTATACGTATCTTTTATTCTTTTTGAGATATAATGAAAATAATTTCGGTTTTTAAAAAAATTGGAAAAAAAGTTTTTATAAAATCGTGAATTTTCTGAAAATAGTTTGTACTAAAGTAGTGAATCTGCTAGAATCCATCAAGATGTCTATAATAAAGTGAATTCTAGATGGAATGTGAATTACATGTGGAAATGGCGCTCATTAAACCATATGCTTTAAAAAAAAACATCGTATAAGCTTCTTGTTTGCATGATAGCTCACTCATTTTACACGCAAAATACTTGTAACAGCACTCATTTTAAAGCTTATTTTGAGCACTATAATACCGAATTTCACCGAAATGCATAAAAGTAAAACCTCACCACTAGATGGCTTTAAATACAACAATTAAATCTTGAACGAAATAAAAAACGACTTTGATCTTTCAAATCTTGCTTAATATTATTCCTAGAACACTTTTTAAAACACCCATTTATTAAGATTTTTATTAACATTATATTGTTCATTACATGATTTTTGTTAGAATGTATATTTTAGGAGATATTTGCAAAAAACGTAGAACAACGCCAAAAATATATGAATTTTTAGTGACCAGTAACTTGAAAAGTATTAGTTTATAAAAGACATTTTTTGCTTATAATTAGTTCTATCGAATTCCGACGTTATTTTGAAAAAAATGTAATTACATAATTGAGAAGGGGTGTCATCTGAATTGTTTTCACTTTTGAACTTGAGGGTAAGATGAACCTAATTCCAAAATTTCATGCAATTCGGACAGTAAAAAAATTCAGACCCAAAACGCTCCGTTTACTGCACTATAGGTCTTTATTTTAATTAAAGTCCTCTACAAGCTTGCGTTAAACCCTCAACGATTATCTGAAAATGGTGTGCATTGCCTGTCAAACAATTACTATTTCCATTTCAATAGTTTAGAGATGGTTTTATCTGTTTACCTTATTTTTTTCTGTCTTCTACCAGGTGTCGTCCATCCGAACATAATCTGCGACGAGTGCAAAAGGAACGGCCTGGCGGGCATAAGGTTTCGCTGCGCGACCTGTCCGGACTACGACCTGTGCGTTTCGTGTTACGGTGACGATAAACACGATATCGAACATCCATTCATAAGATACCAGACACCCAACAGTCCGGGGTTAGTAGTCGAAATTCAGTCGTAGAAATAAAACCTTAGCCACACCTTGCTGATTCCAAAAATTTATACTCCATGCTTTATATACAATCATTGGAATTTTTAGCATTTTTAATGATAAAGGTGGTGAAATTTTATTATTGTACTTTTTACTAATTTTAGAGTACAAGTGGGACCTAGAAAAAATGCAGTCAAAATCCAACTCAAAGGAATATTTGTTGGTGCTAAAGTTGTCCGTGGAACAAATTGGGAATGGGGTAATCAAGACGGAGGAGAAGGTAAACAATATAGTAATATAACTAGTGGGGTGTATGGCATCGTGCCTTAAGGCAAATTGCTGGAACTTCCCGTACCGTAACAAAATGTTCGAGAAATATTGAATGTTTTCAAATAGATTATTATAAATATTGTAACATTGTCTAATATTTATAAGAATTATATAAACTGAATTGCAAAGTTAAATATATTTGTTTGCATAAAGTACATTAGAACTTTAGTCAGAATTACGATTAAAATCTGAATTATTTTCGATATACCAAAAAAAAAAAATTGAAAAAAAAAAATTTTGAATCAAATTTTTTTTCCAAAATCAATTATTTTGTTAAAACAAGCAGAAAGTTCTTTGAATCATTCAAATCGGACGCTTAGTTCTCTCAAAAACTGCCATTTTTTGCACATTTAGCTCTGTATCTCCGAAATGGCTAGGTCTGCCTTTGCCAAAAACTAATAACCACTCGATTCGATTCGATTCCTATTTTCTGCACGATTTGCTCTTTATCTCCGTAATTGCTGGACCTGCCTTTGCCAAAAACTAATCAGATCATCTCCCTATCTATAGGAATCAAATGTTTTTTTGAACGATTCAAATCGGTTGATCCCTGCGCCCGAAAACGTGACTGGAAATTTGTATCCATACATACACCCTCACACACACACGCATCCATTTTTTCTGAGGTATGCCAAAATGTTCAGAAACCTTCAAAACGTCGAGAAATGTAAAAATTTTCAATTTCGATTTTCAGCCCATTACAATAACTTACACTACGGGAAGTTAAATATACTAGATGACCCGACAGACGTTGTGCTGTACCCATGTCTACAATTCAAAAGTTTCAATTTTTTTAATAACCTATACTGATATTTACCAGTTGGTTAAAAATTATTGTGTTTTTCACACTACAGTCCATAACGAAATGTATATACATCCATATGGGGGATCTTAAATATACAACTGCTTTAAATAAAATGATGAGTCTCAGAACTCACACTTAACTCTTTAATTATACTGTGAATTTCAAATCAGCCACATAAGACCATCGAACAAAAATATTGAAATATGTTCAATAAAATAGTATATTAGAAATATACACTACAATTTATTAAACAAATTTATTTCCAATAGCTGAATTTATTTTAATGGCAAGGGTTATCCAATATTTTTAGTCAATCCTGTAGATGTAGATGTATAAATAAATGATTTTTTGTTTATTCACGACTAAAAGATCGATTTTCCAAATTTATGACACAAAAATTCTGCCTTTGTGATTTATAGCTTAAGATATACGTATTGGAAATTGCAGTCATTTAAACGAATTCAGAAAGAATTAATATATAGTATCCGCGGTAAAGGTACAATATCACATTGGATTTTTTCACTCAAAATATTGCTTCAATAATGTTGCCCATAATTTTTATAATCTCCTACTATATATTAATTGGTCAAATCCTTTTCATATGTGCACTATTCTATCTACGATCATTGAAATTAGTGCAGTAAATAAATGGAGAGAAAGAAGTGTGTAACCTGTGAACTTTTTTACTGTGCTCCAATTTGCGTGATATCTTGAGCCAAGTTAATTTTAAATCAAATACGATTAATTGTAATTTTAGTGAAAATGGCACTAATAAAACTATTTGATTTAAATGCAAAAAAAACCCTTTTGCAGTACTCATTTTTAAACTTATTTTGAGCACTATAAAACCCCATGGAATATATAAAATACTAGCAAACCCGACGAACTCCGTTTCGCCACCAGATGGTTTCGTGAGAAAGATGAAGAAATTTTTTGTTTGTTTTATATTTGAAAAGGAAAAAATTGATTTTATTACAGTAATGAATTTATTTCGATTACAAAAATTAAATGTTTTTTAGTTGAACTTCTCTAAGTAAATGAAAGTGAATCCGCAAATTATCCGTTTCATTGAAGTGCTCTTTGGTAAACCACATTTTTTGGTTTTTGGTCTGACGTTAACACAAACAAAGCGGATGGTTTTCCAACTCGTGAACAGGCAACGTATAACTGTCCATGTGAAAAACAATGATTTTCTAAATAATCTATTTGAAATTTATCCCGCAAACACTAAGCGATTGGCCTTGCGACGGAAACGGAAGACCAGTCGGAATCATTGGTATGTCACCAAATCGTCAGCAATTTTTGATTGAATGGTGTAATTCAGTGCGTGTACATCATTATTCTTTGCGGCAAGAATTGCTCGTTGACTTAACCAAGCTTAATTCTGATAGTTCTCACTAATGTCTTTACTCGAATTTTTAATTACGGTGCGTGTAGTTCCAACAATTTGCATTAGGGCACGATGCCATGCTCCGCTATAAACCTTGCGGAGGCCGAGAACTTTTCAACGAATGCAAAATTGTCGAAATCGGTTCGTGCGTTCTGGAGTTATATCGTTGGAAGGAAAATCCAGCTTATTTTTATATATGTAGATATATGTATATATAAATTATTGTATTTATTTGAATTAAATGTTCCTTTACCAGGTCAAGTTGGTCGTGTGATGGACATCCGAGGTTGGGATAACGAATCAATTAGATCAGTAGCTCATGTTAGTTGGGTTACAGGATCCACTAATGTTTATAGGTAAATAATAATAATTACAGTAATAAGTTACAATATATGATTTATAAATATTCCATTTTAATTTCAGGCTTGGGCATAAAGGTAATGTCGATTTGAAGTATGTGCAAGAATCTAGTGGAGGTTATTACTACAGAGATCATATGCCTGTTTTAGGTAAGAATAATAGATGATTATAATAAATAAATTCAAGAACAAGATTGTGGTTTCTAAAATTAATTATGATTTAATTCAAATTAAAATATTTTCAATTTTAGGTAAATCTGAGCCAGGACATCCGACCAGATTAAAAATGAGTACAAAAGCCACAAACAATGGCACCTGTAATAATTCCTTTTTCGCCGTCGGCGAGCGAGTTAAAGTCGTCATGGAGCAGGAGCCATTGAAACAAATGCAGCAGGGTCATGGTGGATGGAATCCTAGAATGGCCCAGTATATAGGAAAGGTAAACACACTTAATAGGCAATAGTTATGTTATTTATATGTATTCTTAAACTATTTTATTGCAAATAGATTGGCACAGTGCATAGAGTAACTGAACGTGGAGACATTCGCGTCCAATATGAAGGCTGTTCGAATCGATGGACGTTTCATCCTGCAGCCTTGGTTCGAGTGGATGGAACAGCAGGTACTTATATATACATATATACATATATATATATATATATATATATATATATATATATATATATATATATATATTGTATGATTCTGAATTTGATGTTGACATATGTATTAACAAAGTCTAGTAATCGGGCATAACATCAATAAAAAACATGAATTTCTTTCAAAAATTTATTCTATATCCATACGTTTCGGCTATAATCCTAGCCTTCATTCAGTGGAAACTAAAAATAAAATTAAAAACTAAAAACAATTGAATTGAAGTAAAAAGAAAAAATAAAATAGTAAATAGTACTTACAATTAGTTAATCTTAGTGTTAAATTGGAAGATTTTATTAATCCATGGTATCAGGATATGGTAATGCACTACACTATGTATTATAAACATTAAACTTGTAATTACACAATATTTTCACAAAATACTAATTTAAAAAATCACAATTAGATAATGTGTTGTTCGCAGACTGGTTGAAGATATAATGGAGAAACGACTTTTTAAAAAAAATATTTTTTTTTACCAAGATTCTACACATGTGTGGAACGAATTGCGAATCCTTTGGGCGTCGTTTTTATTGTTTTGTGAGAAATTTGGAAATACTATCTAAATAAAAGAGGTTTGTGTCGCACAGCGTGTTAAGTTCATTCCGTTTATTTATTGTTTTATTACTCTAAATAGTTAAAAAAGATCCTTCTATAATTCTTCGATTGAATAAATTTTGTTCGAATTGTAGTACAGTCGGGTTAGAAAAGACCATATTGTGTTTTAAAGTATAAATATGCTCCGCAATCATAGTTTTACATTGCCTTGGATTTTTTTAATTTTTTTATGTTGTTGTAAACGTTTATTAAGTTCTGGCTTGTTTCTCCTATGTAAATTAAATTACACTAAGATTAACTAATCGTAACTACTATTTACTATTTTATTTTTTATTTTCACTCCAATTCAATTGTTTTAGTTTTTAATTTTATTTTTAGTTTCCACTGAATGAAGGCTAGGATTATAGCCAAAACGTATGGATTTAAAATAAATTTTTGAAAGAAATTCATGTTTTTTATTGATGTTAAGCACGATTACTAGACTTTGTTAATATATATATATATAATATATATTATATATATATATATATATACATATATATCATTTATTTCAATTTATATTTAACTAATTATTTTTATATACACTTTTTCATTATCTATTACGAATCTGTTATCTAGCTGCCCCAATAAATGGTGTCAACGATGGTGCATCAACATCAACTCATCCCCATCAACATCAACAGCCTACAGGAAGGCAGACGTTCAACATCGGAGACAAAGTCAGGGTCATCTGTGATGCCCAAGCCGTCAGAACTTTGCAAAGAGGTCATGGGGAATGGGTCGAAGATATGTTGCAGGTAATTATTGATAAGATATAAATAATATTTATATTCTCTTTCATCATAATTTTTTTCTCAGGCTTTGGGAAAAACAGGCGTAGTAACAAAAGTCTACAGCGACGGCGACTTGCGCATCGAGATTGAAAAGAAAACTTGGACTTTGAATCCACAATGTGTAACTTCACTGAATCTGCCTTTAAATACATCAACATCACCTCAAAGATTAGCCACGATGAATCCAGAACGATGTAACAGCATGGCTGATTTGAGTCATCACAGGAACGAACCAGTTTGTAAGCGAAAATAATTGTTTAACATTATTTGTATTTATAATTAATTTGTACTTAACATTATATGTCTTTTATAGTAACGCCTTTACCAGTTATGGCCAGCAGTACAGGTTTTGATAAATTGGTTCGAGAAGCTGCACAAGGCAATATGGATTACGTTAAAAAATACATAGAACAACATCCCGATCAGGTATTAATAGATTTTGATATGGTTATCTAACGTATATTAACAATTGTTTTCTTTTTTTAAGGTGGATGCGAGAAGTGGTGGCAAATCTTGTTTGCAAGTAGCAGCTCATCAGGGTCACTTAAATTTGGTCAAATATTTATTAGATAAAGGTGCCGATGTGAATCAGACTGATAATGATAAGGATTCAACGTTGCATTATGCAGCTTTTGGTAACCAACCAGAGGTAAATAGATAGTTGGATATGTAACACAGTGTATAATTTTAATACTTACTTAATATATTATGAACAGGGCGGGTAAAAATAGCATGCAAGTATTTTTACCTGTTTGAATGTTACTAACTTTAAAATTGGTTGAAAGAGTTAGCTGGTAGTTTTTATTTAGATTCAATTGAATTAGTTTTTTGTCATTAGTATTTGATACATAGCAATATGTGATTTTTTTTACATTTCTCAAAACGACTTTTCATTCCAAACATTTTAATTTGTGTACATTAGTAAAAACTAGACAAAATTTACTAAAATTTAGTGTAAAGCTATATAACAAAATTTTAAATAAAACTTATTGGAACATTTATTTCGTGATAATATGTTTAATAATATGTGAACTCAGGACTTTTTTTAGTTTTTTTGAATACTTCCAAAATTTTGTTCCGGTCTTATTGTTTTATATACATCAGTAAAAACTAGATAAAATTTACGAAAATCTAGTAAAAACTGTTATATACACTACGATATTGAAATTTTGAATAATTCGTTGTTGAAATTTATTCGGATTATTCGGACTTTAGTATCTTGATAATTTGCAAGTGTAGGGGTTTCGAACATTTGTTCAGTTTTCTTTAAATAACTTTTAATTTTATTCTCAGACATCATAATTTGTTTACATTAGTAGAAACCAGACAAAATTTACTAAAATCTAGTATAATCTGTTATATACACTCAGATATTGAAATTTTGAATAATTTGTTGTTGAAACGCGGACTTCAGTATTTTGATATATTGTTATATATGCATTTAGATCATTTTTTACATTTCTTGAAATAACTTTTAATTTTATTCTCAAACATTATAGTATGTTTACACTAATAGAAACTAGATAAAATTTACTAAAATCTAGTAAAATCTGTTATATAAACTTGGATTTGAAATTTTGAATAATTTGTAGTTGAAATATGGACTTTAGTATTTTGATAATTTGCAATACATATAAGCTAGTTTTTCCATCCGCTTATAATGTATTACTAATTTTTTATTAAGTTGAAGAATTTATTTTTTATTCAGGTTATATTTTTATTTTTCAGGTAATGGAAGTATTATTAAAAGCTGGAGCCCATATAAACGTACTGAACGCTTCCAAATGTACTGCCCTGCATATATCAGCCCACAAAAAGCCACCACATTGTGTTAAAGTCTTACTGAAATATGGAGTCGACGTCAATATACAAGTAAATATATTATTATATAATAATATTATCACATAATGATAATGACATATCTTATCAGGATTCATACGGAGATACTGCACTCCATGATGCCATTGGCAAGGACAGTGCTGAAGTTATCGACTTATTATGCAACACTCCTGGTAAGTACATATCGATACCACAAATAAATTTTGGTGCACGCACCCAAGTCTAAAAATGTGTCTATTACCACCCAGCTTATGATGTGACAATTCAAAATCATCGTGGTTTCAACGCTTTGCACCATGCGGCTCTAAAAGGCTCTCTAACTGCCACAATACAACTTTTGAGGCGTGCCAGACAATTGGCGGATTCTAGAAAGGCAGACGGTTTGCTGCAATACATTTGGCGGCTTTGAATGGACACGCTGCGGTCGCTAGGGCTCTCATAGAACGCGGGGGCGCCGATAGAGACTTGACAAATGCTAGGGGACAGACTGCTTTGCTGTTGGCCGTATCCCAAGGTAAGGGGTAAAGGAAGGAAATATATATATATATATATATATAATATATATATACGATATATATATATATACGAGTAATATATATATATTATATATATATATATATATATGATGAAAGTTTTGTCGACGTTGATACATATTTGTAAAATTTTTTGCAGCCCAACCGTCGAATTAAAAAAAGATTAAATAACAAAATTATTTATTCCATTATACGTTTCGACACTTGATGTGTGTCATCATTCAGTAATCAAACCAGGAAAAACAGGAAACATTAATTATGATGTAAAAATTTATTTAATACTAAATTTGTGTAAAATAATAAAATACTATTAATTAACAAACGAGAAATAGGAGGAGCACATATTGCCCTCCTATATTTAATGTTATGGTAGCATAGCGTTGTGTGCACTATTGAACACAACACTGTTCATTGTTATTTGTTCTTTAATCTTGTTATTTAACCTTTTTTTAATTCGACGGTTGGGCTGCAAAAAAAAAATACAAATATATATATATATATATATATATATCTTATATATAAAAATGGATCGCAAAATGTGTTGGTAAGCGCATAACTCAACAACGCCTGGACCAATTTTGCCAATTCTTTTTTTAAAATGTTTGTTGAAGTCCAAGGATGGTTCTTACGGCGAGAAAAAATCGAATAATTGCCGCGAAAACCCTAAAAACAACCCTTATCTTTTTCTCATACAAACGTTTTCTAACTAAAACATAGAATCAATTTGAGCTTTATTGCTATTATATAAAGTTCATATTAAATTACAAGCACTCGCTGTATACTCCTCCTAAACGATTATTCGGATTTTGATGAATCTTTCTGAAGTTTGTTGAGAAAATTTTCTAGGATGTATGTGATTATAAATTACTGGGATGTATGTGCTATATTGTAGAAATAAATGGAAAAAATTGCAAAATCAAAACTATCATCTGCTAAAAATTTCAATTTACTCATGAACCTAGACAATATTAGAATATGTATAATAAATTTATGATTATGAATAAGAAAAATGAAATGTCTACATTATTATTGCCGAAAAGCAGCTGAGATATGCCAGAAATTAAAGTAATATAAAAGACAGTATATGTATGTAAGGTAGATTGAATGATACACATATGAACAGGATATGACAAAATAATTTACTTAAAATATGAAATTAAGTATTAATCAGGGCCGGTCCTACCTTTAATGCGATGAATGCGAAAAATACGAGCAACCGCCTTAGGGGGCGCCTACATAAGATTCCGATATTAAATTTTCAATATAGTTTTATTCTTCAATAGATAATTTCTTTGCATCATTTAGTAATCTTTCCACAATATTTTTAAAATTCGTACAAATTTCACTTTATAACAACAAATGGGAAACTAGAGATGAATACATACAATTCGGCCCTCACGATATTGATTAGGAGAAGTTTAAGATGCAATTTTGGATATTTAAATAATAAAAAATTAAATTAATTTAATCCAACATGAAGTACCAGTGTTATGTTATGGTTATGGTTATGTTATATCGTTTAAAAGACTTCAATTTCCAATATAGTGTGGGAATTGAGACTCATCACTTTATTTAAAGCAGTTTTAATATTATATTTCATATTATAAATGTATATGTATTTTGGCGTAAAGAGTAATTAAAAAAACAATAATTATTATTTTTAGGTAAAGGGTAAATATTAGTATATTATAATAAAAAATTGTAGACATGGGTACAGGACAACGTATGTCGGGTCATCTAGTATATATATATATTTCTATTTCTATTTCTATTTCTAGGTCATTGCAATGTGATAGAAACCCTAGTATCGCTCCGTTGCTCCTTAACGGCTCGTGATGAAGACGGAGACACTGCTCTGCATTTAGCGATAATAAAAAGTGTAGCAGATGCACCTCTGCCCTTACAGTCGGATGCACCATGTATAAGGGCTCTTTGTGATCACCAGAAACTGGCAACATTGACTGAACATCGAGTAGGGATGGCTATTGCTTGCTATTTAACCAGAGAAGGATGTCAGCTGGATGCCAGGAACGGGAAGGGAAAGACTGCTCTGGAGTTGGTGCAGAATGAGGAATCGAGAAAGGTAAATATAAGGATATATATATATATATATATATATATATATATATATATATATACTAGCTAACCCGGCAAACGTTGTTTTGCCATAAAAATATGCCTAAATTGATAAAAAATTAATAAAAGTGCCAAAAATCAAATATTTAATAGATTTGAACTCTGATTCTTTGACAAATAGTTAAAAACTTGTTATAATTTTCAAAATTATTTGACATTTCATACTTCAAAAATTAATTCACTCGCATCATAGTTTTTTGTTTATTATACTTTTGTCATGTCATATATGTCAATAAAATTTTCTTTCAAATATTATTTATTTGTTAATAAATTAATAATTATTTTAAGTCCAATGAATATATAAATATAATTGTTAAATTCATAAGTTTGGCTAAATCAACACAGGAATATTGTGTATTTTTTATATAAAGATCTGATTTTTGACATTTGCATTTTATTTCAAATTAATTATAATTGTCAAAATATTTTCTTTTCGGTCAAAATTTAATATAATATGATATAATATTTAGTTTGTCTAGTTTGTTTTTGTCAGATTCCAATGATACCCTCAGAATGTACTATTTATTCCATTTAAGAGGTTACAATTTCTTGTAAGATTAGCATTTGCGATGACAATCAAAATATATCTTAACCGATATATTAATAATGATATTATATTTTAATTACATAAATTTCTTTACACTCCGATAAATAATTCCAACGCATCATAGTGTTTTGTTTATTTTAATTGTGTTTATGTCATTTTTTTTTAATTAAAGAATACATTAAATTTTAGTCTAAATCGACGCAGTATCTTTATCTAAATATACAATTTTTATATAAATATTTGATTTTTTACATTTGCATTTAATTGAAAAATAGTGAATGTCAATTTCATATATCCAATTTGCACTAAATTTATAAATGTCAAAATATTTCCTTCTTGGTCCAAGATTAATATAATATGATAATATTTATTTTACAATAATGTTTTGTATCTATAATTTGCTTGGCAATATTGCCTATAACATAACTTGGAATAATTAACTTATTTGCTTCTTATTGAAGTAAGTCGTTAAACATTTTTTGTGAAATGTAAAAATTTTGTTTATGATTAATTTTAAATTCAATATGCCGCTTTTTATTGTGATCTCTGATCTATAATGTTTTGATGAAGTTTTGGTTTCCGAAATAATTTGGTAAGCTAATCAATTAAATCTAAATCGTAAAACTATTTATATAATTATTTTCATAAATACTGACAAATGACATTTAATTTTTTACATGTCAACATTTATTCAAATTTTTAAGCATTGATTTTTAATTAGATTTAAAACTATAAACAGTGATTTTGAATATAGCATTTCATTAAATTTGTATTTAAATGTTGGATATTTCTATATATGTACATGTTTTTGAATTTTATTTTTTAAAATGTCAATTTTTTTTTCAAAAATTATATATCGAAATTTTCTTAATTTTGACATTTGTCATTTTAGTGTTGTTTTTTTTTTTTTTGGTCATTTTCTGCCAAAATTTTTAGAAATTTATAGAAATTATATATTTATATTTCAAATTTACTTTTCAAAATTTCCTATAACCTAAGTTGGATATATATGCACACGATGAGCCAATAAAATTTAAAATCGGTTCAGTAGTTTGGGCGTCCATCGCGAACCAACATTGTGACACGAGATTTATATATATATATATATAATAATATATTATATATATATATATAAATATATATAAATGTTTATAATTCTTTTATAGATTCTGATGTACTTCCGCTCCAAGCGGCCGCCTCCTGCAGCTCCACCAATGAAACAGGTGCCCCCATTGCCCGTGGGACGCTCCTCGATGAACATCAGTGGCCCATCGCATTCTCATGGAAATAGTAATGCTGTCTCTGTCAATAATTTGCCACAGAATTTGATGACACTCTCATTGAATGAGAGGCAGTCTAAAATTAAGCACAATGAGAACGAGAATGAACAGTTGGAGATGCCCAGCGAATGCATGGTAAATAGAATAGAATAACTAGTTGGTATTGGTATTTAGCCTTGAGGGAAGTTACATGAACTTCCCGATTTGTGTAAATAATCGACTTAATCAATAAAAAATAAATTAATTTATGAGTGATTAAAAGTATTCCGAGTGGATTTATTACACATTATTGAAAATCGAACACGTCAACCCGGTCGGAGTATTTTTTAAAACCAAATTTTCAAAAATCTATAATTTTTATAATTGAACCAGTTTTCGTAGGACGTTAATGGTTTACTATGTTACAGACCAAGTACTCTATCATTTACCAACTAAATCATCTAATTTATTTTTAACAAACGTTAAAAAAAACTACTCATTTTCTCAAACTTTAATAAATTTTTTAAACTAAACTACTTGTTGTAAGGCCGTAATATTTCAGTAAGTTCTATAAGACTATGATATATATCGCCAAAAAAAAATTCTATGAAAATCGGTTTAATTTTTTTTTTAATAGTTAATTACAAGAAAACGGCTCGGTAGATTTTCACCTAAAACTAATCAGTGTCATTCCCAACTAATATCTTTTGAACAGTTTTTGATTTTTTAAATCGGTTCGGTAGTATGAGCTTAAATGTGGACGAAACGTTTAACACTTTTTTCCAAATTACAAAGAAACGGCTCGGCCGATCGTCACACAAAACTGAGAAACTGAAGAAACGATAATCCTCATCGAGATACATCAAATGCTTTTTAAATTTCTGAAATCGGTTCAGGCGTTTTTGAGCAAACGTCGATAAAAATTCTAATTTTGACAAATGCCAAAAAGATCATACTAATTTTTGCAAACTTCGACGAATTTTTAAAGCTAAACAAGTTGTCGTAGGGCCGTAATATTTTAGTATGATCTAGAAGACTATGGTATCTACCGCCAAAAAAATAATAATAAAAATAGTCAAAAAATTTTTTTTAACACGTTATTACAAGAAAACGGCCCGGCCGAGATTTACCAAAAACTAATCAGCACGATTTCCAATCGATATCTTTCGAAAGGTTTTTGAATTTTCAAAATCGATTCGGAATTGCGGGCTTAAAACGTAGGCGAAAATTTTTCACTTTTCTGCGATTTATAAAAAACGGCTTGGCCGATCGTCGCACAAAACTGACAAACAAACATCGAGGAACATCGAATGGCTTTTAAATTTTTGAAATCGGTCCAGGCCGTTTTTGAAAAAACGTCGATTTACAGCAAAAAAATCTGTTCACACACACGCACACACACACACATACTTTTTCCAAATTTGGTCTCATTCGATTCAGAATGTCTTGAAACGTCGAGAGAAAACATAAAATTAGCGATTCGGATTTTTTGATGAAAAAAACTGCTCCTTCGGGAGGTTAATAAAGTGCATATACTTATATATGATATTACTGTTTATTTTAGGTCTGTAATGAACTTAAAATCCGGTCCAATCTTCGAGCCCTGCGGCACAAGATAGCCTGCGACGACTGCGCTTCCAGAATGAAAAAATGTGTCCTCTGTTCCTAACCAGAGTATTTTTAATAGAACCAGCAACGAAACAATCAGCAACCATCGAAGAAAATCAACGAAAAAGCCACAATCGGAATCCCAGCCTTCTGTCTCGGACAGAATGAAATATTTGGAGAGCAAGATTCAAGAGATTGAGGAAATACATTGTTGTTCCATTTGCATGAGGCGGAGGAGGAATGTGGCCTTTTTGTGTGGGCATGGGCTTGTGAAAAGTGTGCGGAGCCTTTGAAGACTTGTCACATGTGCAGGGAGAAGATTGTTACCAAGATTAATCTGTTTTGAAGAGACCAGGTAAGACAAGTTAATTAATCAAACACTACTAAGGACTACACAATATTAAGTGGGGGAGCCTGCTTTAGAGGCTTCAAAATATCGCTATTTTTAGGAAATTTTCGGGAAGGAAATAAATATTCAATTGAAACGAAACTTTCAGGTTTTATTGGTATATATTTCAACATTCTTCTTATTTTTTTTACAAGCATTTTGCCGATGCGCCACGAGCGTGCAGGTGGGAAAAGTGCAGGTCACAATTTTCAGCCGAAACAAAAAATATATATTTTCAATTGTATAGATTCTAGTTACACCTAAAACTTCCGAAAAAAATTGAAATTTACACATTCTTTGCAACTTGAAAAAAAATCACGTTTTTTATAAAAAAATTCGCTAATACGATAATTAAATTCGAAAAGTTAATTAATAAAATATTACTAAGGACTACACAATATTAAATGGGGGAGCCTGCTTTAGAGGCTTCAAAAAATCGCTTTTTTTTAGGATTTTTTCTGGAAGGAAATAAATATTCAATTGAAACGAAACTTTCAAGTTGTATTGGTATATATTTCAACATTTTTCTCAATTTTTTTCATTGAAATATATGTCATAATGTGCCGGGTACAAGCATTTTGCCGATGCGCCACGAGCGTGCAGGTGGGAAAAGTGCAGGTCACAATTTTCAGCCGAAACAAAAAATAAAAACAAATATATATTTTCAATTGTATAGATTCTAGTTACACCTAAAACATCAAAAAAAAAAATTAAATTCACACATTCTTTGCAACTTGAAAAAAAATCATTATTTTTATAGAAAAATTCGCTTTTTAATTATAACTTTTTTTTAAAGTTTATTTAGGTTCAACTAGAATAGAATTTAATCCTGAATACAATGAATTTTGTCTTATTTCGATAGGACCTTTAGTTTTTTTCCAATCTTTCTTGCCGATTAGGAAGAATCGAAAAAATGAAAAACCGAGAAATCACTATTGCTCACTATTCTTCCGTAACTCCGAAAATAATTTGAATTTGTTTCTGAAATTTAAGGGATATAGTCTTGGCTAGTTTTGGAAGACTTTTCACAAAAAAAAAATCAATTTTTTTAAGCCTCTAATAAGTGACTAAATAATTTACCAGCTAGATTTTTTTAAGTTGTCTGAAAGATGAAGGAATGGCGTTGAATGAAACTGATTGAGCCAAGATGGTAATAGTGTTTTTTCAATAAAATTTTTTATATTATCAGAACGCTCTTGAAAACCTATGAAAAGTAACTTATGCCTTTGGGCCAATTTAATAGATTTTAAAGCATACGAACCCCTTTGTCAACATCCATTATTCGTGAAATTATTGCTTCTCTGGTGAATTGAGAATAACCAATATTTTCTAAGACAGCTTTCCTAACAACAACCAAAGGATCACTTTTTAAATGAAATTTGTATGTTTTGCATATTAAATCATCTTGATTTTGTGGATTTTGTAATCGTTTGCCAAATTGCTTCTGCCCATATTTAGTTAAGCCATCAAACATATAGATCTGTCACCTATATTATTTAATATTATATTAATAAATTGTAAAGATTGTTTTCTTGTATCACTATAATCTGCACATGATATTAGGAATCGAAGCAAATTTTTCATTATACTATGCATTTCAGCTTCTTCTCCAGAAGTTGTATGAAACATTGTTTGATGTTCTTTCTCTATATTATTCAGAAATAATACTATAAACTCCATAAAACAAGTCACCTAGAACAACAAAAACAAATTGATTGATTGCAACTATAAAGGTTTAATAAATGATAAACATGGAAAGTTATATAAAAACCTGTGGCATATCATCTCCGAGAGCAATCTGCTTTTTAGTTAAAATAACTAATATGTCGTATAGACGGTCTTCAGTCGTTTTGCTTGCAATTTTTTGGGCTTTTGCGAGATATTTATAATGTGTTGTGTTTGACTTTGAAGCTTCCAGCACAATAGTAGAAATCTAAATAAGTCTTATCATTTAGTAATGTTGTTTGTTTCTTAGGTCTTCTACGACGCTTCATTTTGTTATTTTTATATAAGATAACTAGATGACCCGACAGACGTTGCCCTGTACCCATATGTCTACAATTTTTTAATATAATATACTAATATTTACCGTTTACCTAAAAATAATAAGTATTGTTTTTTAAATTACTCTTCACGCCAAAATGCATACACATTTATAATATCAGCGATGTTAAATGTAGAACTGCTTTAATAAAATGATGAGTATCAATTCCCACACTATATTAGAAATTGAAATGTTTTAAACGGAATAACATAACCATAACATAACACTGGTACTTTATGTTGGATTAAATTAATTTAATTTTTTATTATTTAAGATATCCAAAATTGCATCTTAAACTTCTCTAATCGATATCGTGAGGACCGAATTGTATGTATTAATCTTTACTTTCCCATTTGTTGTTATAAAGTGAAATTTTTACGAATTTAAAAATATTTTGAAAAGATTAGTGAATGATAGATGCAAAAAAATTATATATTGAAAAAAAAAACTATATTGATAATTTAATACCGGAATCTTGTGTTGGCGCCCCTTAAGGCGTGCGCTCGTATTTTTCGCATGCATCGCATTAAAAGTAGGACCGCCGCTGATTAATACTTAATTTCATATTTCAAGTGAATTAATTTTTTCATATGTGTATCATTCAATCTCCCATACATGTACTGTATCTTATATTATTTTAATTTCTGGCACATCTCAGCTGCTTTTTGGCAATAATAATGTAGACATTTCATTTTTCTTATTCATAATCATAAATTTATTATACATATTCTAATATTGTCTAGGTTCATAAGTAAATTGAAATCTTTGGCAGATGATAGTTTTCATTTGTTTTCGATGCAAACAATGACATGTCGTTTTTTGCATTCTTTTTTATTTATTTCTATAATGTTGCACATACATCCCAGTGCTTTATAATCGCATACATCCTAGAAAATATCTTTAACAAACTTCAGAAAGATTTATCAAAATCCGAATAATCGTTTAGAAGGAGTTCACAGTGATTTGGGCTTGTAATTTAATATGAACTTTAGATAATAACAATAAAGCTCAAATTGATTCTACGTTTTAGTTAGAAAACGTTTGTATGAGAAAAAAAGGTTGTTTTTAGGGTTGTTCCGGCAATTATTCGATTTTTTCTCGAAAATGTGCTTCTATATAAAATGAAAATTAAATTTAAAAAAAAGAAAAACCGAGAAATCACTATTGCTCACTATTCTTCTAAACTCCGAAAATAATTTGAATTTGTTTCTGAAATTTAAGGGATATAGTCTTGGCTAGTTTTGGAAGACTTTTTACAAAAAAAACAATTTTTTTAAGCCTCTAATGCAGACACCCGCTTAAGTGACTAAATAATTTACCAGCTAGATTTTTTTAAGTTGTGTGAAAAATACAAATATGTAAAAATAGCATTTACTGCTTTAGAAAATCTTAAGAAAGCGTTCAACATAAATCACATATATATAACTATATCACATTTTAATATGTACATAATTTTTAATCATGATACAATTATTTAATCTTAAAGTAAATGCATATTGGGTATGCATTTGTAGCATTTGTATTTAATTTTAATTTATTTCATAATATATATGCCGATTACTATTTATATATAAGATTATAAAAATTGTAAATATGAATATTATGATTTGATTATGTGCATGAAGATTGATCAATTGATTGAAATTAGATTTAAGCAATTGAAATTGATAAACCAAATTTTAGAATTATTAGATCATAAACGCATATTGAAAAGGACATAGAAACATCACTACATACATTACATATATATATATATATATATAAATTGTTTATAAACAATTAATATTCGTTCCACTCATATCATAAAATTCTATAATATATATATATATATATATATATATATATATATATATATATGGTTGGTCCTTAATATGGACAATTTCGAATTTCTTTGCTCCTAATGGCTTTCAAATTAATAAAAAAGAATTCTCTAAAAGTTGTAGCTCTTAATATTAACATTTAGATAGTCCACAATTCGTAATTAAAAGTTTCGTATTTTATTATTAACATATATCATTAAGTAAATTCTTGCGCTATCTGTGATAGCATTTGTAAACTCAAATATTATGACACTTAAAAATATTTATAAATCACTTACTCTTTAATTATATCAATGTGGGTTGTTTAATGAAATATTTATTTATCATGGAATCAAAATTAATTTTGAGGCAAAATATTTGTTTAATGGGTGATGTAGACACTCAAATTATCAGTATAAAAATTACAAGTCTGCTATCACAGATGGCGCAAGGATTTACTTAATGGCACATGTTAATAATAAATATGGGAAACTTTTAATTGAATTGCGGACTATCTGAATGTTAATATTAAGAGATAAAACTTTTAGATAATTGTTTTTTATCATTTTGGAAGCATTTGAGCCATTGGGAGCAAAGAAATTCCAAAATGTTTATATTATGGATCACCCATATATATATATATATATATATATATATAATCTATATATATATTATATATAGAAGAGATATATATATATAATATATATATATATATATATATATTAATTTATTTATTATATTAGTAGTGATGTTGCTAGGTTTTGCTAAACGATATTGTACAATTGACTTGACAATAATGAATATAGATTGTATGTAAGCGACTGATAAATTTTATAATTGTATATATTTAAATTAAATTATAGTCATTGATTAAAATAAATAGATAAATAAAATGTGCCAAAGGTTGATCAATATACGTAAAACAATTTCATATCATAAAGGACTAATAAATAAAATATATATATATATATATATATATATATATATATATTATCTTATTTATTTATTATCAAGTCCATTACATCACAACCTTTGCAAATTTATCATTAATTGATAGAGCAGTTATGAACAAGTTAATAGAGTGATATAATAAATTAATTTATTTTAAGATTATATATATTTAATAATTAATTTATATGTCGAGATGCATGATAAAGTCTGAAAAGTCAAGTATATATAGATATATTTTTGAAATGACATTATTGTCAATAAATAATATAGTAATGATATTATTTTATGAATATTATTTGATATTAGACGTGTGTATTTTTAAATATAATATAAAAATAAAGACCATAAAATTAATTAAGAACTTAAAATTTATTAATAATTAAGAACTTTTCTTAATTCGAGTGTTGCTCCAAAAATCGTTTTTTTTTCTGTATTAAAAGACATTGTTCTAACACAGCACATTTATTTTACATATAAAAAGAATTACATGCTTTTTAATATTATTATATTTCGAATAATTTATACTAAAATGAAGAGAAGTGCCGTTAAATAATTATACATATTGAATTATATATATATATATATACACACACATATATTATATATATATATATATATATATAAAATAATCAGCAGCCTATTCGTCAAATTGAAATGTTAGATAAACATTCTTTTTTCTAAAAAAAAGTGCCGATGTTGTTTTCGTTTTCTGAACACACAGGTATAATAATTTCAAATATTCGTTAATAATTTTTTTTATTAAAATTACCAATTATCCAAATGTTTAATACAAAATTTACTTTTCATATTGTACATCATTTTGTCATGGAATTATCCATATATGGACAGGATGGAATATTGGATGCAATAAAAAATAGTACATGATTCAATTTTGATAAAATGGACATCAAT